ACATTTTACCCTATAGTCTATGTCCCTCTATTTCTCATGCAATTTCTGGATGATGCATGAAATTAAATAACTGAAGACTGCGTGGAAACCCATGATATCCTAGAGGAATGTAGCCTTTGTGGTATCCACCATAGCTTGAAATTAGAGCAGTGAAGTGAGAAATTATTGTACACATGTACAATAATTTATTTCTTGAAGATTTGACTTTACGTGGTGTAGGTGTCAATTAAGGCTATTGATGTATTGTCATTTATTTCACACAAAATGAATGGCTGTTATGGCTTGTATAGCAGGACCCTAACCACCATGCCTGGAAGATTGAGCTTCAGTAACATCACTGCCCTTGCCCCAATGGTCCGAGTGGGGACTCTGCCTATGAGGCTTTTGGCTTTGGACTATGGAGCTGATGTAGTCTACTGCGAGGTGAGGATGGCTGTTGAGATAAGGCTGCAGTCATTCCTAAAGATTTCTAAACTAATTAACCATATAGTGCCTTTCAACATACCCAAGTGCATTGTTCATTTACTCCACACTAATGGTAAACTACTATTATAGCCACAGCTGCCCTGGGGTACACAAACAGAAGTGAGGCTGCCAATCTGTGCCTTAAACCCCGCCGACCACCACCTACCGTCACACACACACTACATATTTATTTTAAAATTCCGATGAAACAAACCATCCTTATTTTTGTATTTTTAAATTGTATTTAATTCCAGTTCCAACAGTGGAAGTGCTTTAGGAAGCTGGACATTCTTATTTATTCAATTATTTAAATAACATGTCTGTTTTAGGAGCTGATTGATATTAAAATGGCCCAATGTCAGAGAGTGGTTAATGGTAAGTCTTTATTGTTTTATACCAAATTATTGCTATCAGGAGCCTATCCACTGGCAATGGATGTAAAACATAAATATACAACATGTATGTAAAACATCTCTTTGCTTATCAGAGGTGCTGGACACAGTGGATTTTGTTGCTCCAGATGACAGAGTGATGTTCAGGACATGTGAGAGAGAAAAGGACAGAGTCGTCTTCCAAATGGTAAGATGTAGGTAATTATATGATATGTACTAAAATATCTAACTTCTAATTTCTCTCCTTCCTGCAGGGGACAGCTGATCCAGACAGAGCCTTGACTGTGGCAAAGCTTGTGTAAGTTTTTTTTTTTATATTATAATATTACCATTCTGTTATTACGCTACCAATAGTTTTTGAAACTTTTCTCTGTCAACTTTTCTCTAAAGAAATCATTCAATTAATACTTTCTGTTTTAATAATTTTGTTAGTTTTTGGATAGTTACATCAAATGACCAAACTCATTTAAAAAAGCTAGTTTACAATTATTATGACCTAGTATTCACAACAGTATAAAATAATAAAATTTTATTGTTTTATATTCATATTTTCCAAACTCCCTGACTATTTGTAGTGAACAGGATGTAGCTGCAATTGATGTAAATATGGGCTGTCCCAAAGAGTACTCCACTAAGGTGAGTGTATTTTAACTTTCTAGTTTGTTGCTTGATGCCATGATAGTTTAGTTTGTTTACTGTTTTTAATGTTTAACAGGGTGGGATGGGAGCTGCTCTTCTCTCAGATCCAGATAAAATTGAATCAGTAAGCCCAATTTTGCTTTCATACATACCTGCTATTAGTTCTTTTTAAATGAATAGGTTTCTATCAGATTGCCCTCTTCATTTGCAGTTGTAGATTTTACTGATAACCATGGATGCACCGATCCAGCTTTTCCAGTTCTGATATTAATATTGATACTTGGCTTTAGGTATTGGCCCATACCCGATATCAACCAATACTAGTATAAGGAAGGAGAATGGCACTTATTTCCTTAAAGCACAGTTAACTTAATAAACAAGAGATCCAATTGTGTTATGTAACTGTTATTTATCCTCCACATCACTACTGAACAGCTTTGTATGAATCAAACATTATGAGACATTTTTGGCCAAAATCTGCCTGTAAATAGTCTTATTACAGCCAGTTAAAAGCCCAAACGGGATCCTGGTTTAACTAATATCATGGTAACTTCTTCAGGATTAGTGCTGATGTTCAGTACCAGTATTGTGCCGGTGCATCCCTACTAATAACACATAATAGCTGTTATAATATGACTAAATATCTTTCTTTTTATAGATTCTCAGAAAATTGGTTGAAGGAGTAAACAAGCCAGTCACATGCAAAATTCGGATCCTACCCTCGGTTTGTGGCCATTTTTCTGTTTCAAAAATTACATTTGCTTGTATCAACTGAGCTTTTATTCTCGCAGCTGGAAGACACAATCAATCTAGTTCAACGTATTGAGATGACTGGTGTATCAGCTATTGGTGTACATGGCAGGTGACAAGCACTATGTTTCCACAGTGATTTTAATTATTAGACATAAACTGGAAATATGTAGATTTTTCAGATTTCATCCAGCTAATTGTGTTTTTATTTTTGTATTCAGATTCAAAGATGAGCGTCCCAGGCACCCAGTCCATTGTGATTACATTCAAGCTGTAGCTAAAGCTGTTTCTATTCCCGTCATTGCCAAGTAAGTTTTTAGAGGTTGATGATAAAAATATGCAAAATTACAATATTTAGTATTTTATCCATTATTACAAAGATGTCAAAAGTATGGACACATGATCCATAGATAAGATTAAAATAGTCTTGCAAACAAGAGTATAATATTATGTTTTGAGACTTGAACCTCAACAAAGAGATTTACAGGAACACTTTAGCACACTTCTAATCTAATTTTGTTATTGAGAGAGTTCAAAAATACTTATGTATAATATTTGTAAATGTAAACCATGCCTACTTGCCAGTTTTAACACGCATCTAATTTCAGATTATTAACTAATGATGTTCCCTTGTTTTACTCAGTGGTGGCTCTCTGGACTTGGTGAAGACTTACACAGATATAGAGGAGTTTAGGAAAGCTTCGGGAGCATCGTCTGTGATGTTGGCCCGAGCTGCAATGTGGAACCCCTCAGTGTTCAGCCCCAAAGGTCTGTTACCAGTGGAGACGGTCATGGAGGAATACCTTAAATATGTGAGTGAGGAGAGATATATGTATTTACATGAGAAACAGGTCTGAGTTTGAACCAAGGGAGGCTTTACTTTGTTGTACAATGGCACGACAGGAAGAAGCACAGACTATAAGGACAAATGTAAGCTAAAGGTTAATGAGATAGTCTTTGGATTTAAAGGCACTGAAGGAGGCCAGCACTATCACTTTCCAAACTTTCAATATGGCAAAGAATAAACCAGTAGTTCTTAAATGTTTTTTACTTGCCCAGATTTAGTATCGGTGGTTGTGTTAACAAGGAAAACAATCCTTAACAAATTGAAAGTTTTTTGATTATGTGTTATTAAAAGACCACCTACTAACAGACCTGTCTTTTGCAGGCAATCAGATATGACAACCACGCCTTCAACACAAAGTACTGTCTGTGTCAGATGCTCCGAGACAAAGTAGAGACTCCTCAGGGAAAACTGGTCCAAGCAGCTCAAACCAACGCTGAGTTCAGGTGCGTTCAATGACTCCTGGTTTGTCTTGGACTGATTCATTTATGTGTAATATTGTCATATTTTAAGTGAATATAATTGCATTACAATCATTAGATACCACAAAGAATATGTAAGATCTGCCCACTGTTGACCACCATGATGTTGGTATTGTACTATAAATGGATATTTTTGTGCCCCATTTTACTGGTCACTTCTAACGAAAATAAAGAGTAGATTACAAAACTAGTGATTTGTTCATTCATTTATTTTCATTGTTTTGTTTTTGCAGTGTGGCATATGGACTACAGGAGTACTTCCAGAAGGTGCAGGAGGAGCTGCAGGCCAAACGCGATGCTCTTCAGAGTCACTGCCTCCAGAATCGGCCCATAATGGATGGAGATGTGCTCACTATGGCTGTGAAATTTGAGAGGTAAATGTTACATGTACTGATCAGTCCAGGCTAAATCGTGTGTATGTGAGCATTGTATACTAAGAATATAAGAAAACAAAAAGAAAAATATCTAAGAAAGATGTCTTCACTGTCAAGCACAAATCTAGAAATATAGATATATATATATATATATATATATATATATATATATATATATATATATATATATATATATATATAATATATATTATATTATTATTTTTTTTTTTTTTCCATTTAGGAGAGAGTATCCACCCCAGATTACACCCAAGATGTTCCTTCTGGAGTGGAGCCGCAAAGAGAAATTGGAACAACCCTCGTATGAGACTGTAAATTGTTCCTCTTTTTTGCATTAATGTTTAAAATGTACTGATATTATTATTGAGTTCATTTATATTTATATATTTTTCTTGGTCTACTGGACTGTTTCAGGTGCAACGGACTCAGGACAGAGCATTTCAATCGACAGTGACTGTAGCAAAGAAGAAATACAGATCTTCATTGTGGTCAGTAATTTGTCAATTTTGTAGTTTTAAATCTGAGATGTACACTACTGACTGTTATTAGTAGTGTTCACATTCATTTTCATAGACTTTTTGAAAATTGTCAAAACTTCAAATGGATGGACAGACCTGGTTAGTACTTAGACCATTCTGTATTCCAGGTTCTACATTGTGGTGCCAGTGGCAAAAACTTTGTGTCCTTAGGCAAGGCACTTTACCTACCCCTGATATGAATGTCATGTGTGCATGAGTGTTGGTGGTGGTCGGATGCCTATGCCATGACAAAGAAAGGATCAGAGTTAATATTTATGCTTTTTTTTTTCAGGGAGAAATCAAAGAAGTTTGCAGAACAAGCCGCTGCTATAGTGTGCCTGAGAGTGTTGGGGATACCAGAAGGACGTATTGGAGAAGAGGAGTCTGGTCTGGTTTGTAAAAGGAAGCGGGAGATTAAAGGAATGAACGGTTCTGATGAAGAGGGCAGCAAAAAGCGCCATCTGGTGGATAGTCGGGAAGAAACTGAAATTACAAAGACACAGTTGGTCACAAATGGTGACCGTCACACACCAAACTCAGAGCAGACCAAGAATTAGAACTAGGAGGCTGCCAGAGACTGCACTGAACAGGACTTTTAAATAGAGACCTCTGTCAATTATTTTACCTTTTTGTTTTATTTTTATAATTATTTGGGCAAAATTTAAAATTAAACAAATCTTTATGAATGATTGCCTTGGTTAGTGATAATAAAATAAATTTCTTTGCCAGTAGTGTAAAAGTATATTCAGAACCTTAAATATCAAGCATATAAATCATTTTCAGTTCAGATGAAAAACTTATAATTTATAATTGCCTGGTGAAAGCTTTAGTTTTAGTAATGAACTAGTGGTATTGTGAATGATACAGAAGGAATGACATTAAAATGTGGGACACAAATTTTTGAAAACCAGCAAAATGCCTTACATGAGCTTTCACATTTTGTAATTTATTTTGTCAAACATCTCGGTACAGATTTCAAGATAAGATGGTTTGAATATGTTTACATCTGGCTTATGTAAGCAATTATGGGCGTATTTCCCAAACTTGGTCAACTATTGCAAAATAATTTTGGGTAATTGTAGTTTGAATTATGTATAAGCTATAAAAATTACATTGAAATAGGTGTGCCTTCCTTACAGTAGCCTTATTACAAAAGTTAGTTATTATTTATTAACAATCAACTATTACCTCTTAAAGTTCAACCTTTTTTGTTACAAAGCCACTCATTGTTCTGTAATTTATAAAGGTTGATCATTTCACAACTTTACATGATGACCCTGGAAAACAAAGCATGTTTTTGTTTATTTTAATTTTTGTTATAAAAACAAATGCTGCATGATATTAAAAGGTTTACTCCAATAATACATGGTCAGTCTGGTGTCTGATGACTTTCTGTTAAGCGATAATATAATTACTTCATTTATTTTTACTGCAAATTACTTGTCAAATTTATCACCAAAATGTGTTTTTATTGCAATATTCAAATGGCGGCAAACTTAAAAAATATTATTTTATTGAGTATATTGAACCTAGTAGTAGTCAGTATTGGCATGGTTGTCATTGGGGCATATTCGGATTTATAAATGCAAAAGTCACACTTTTACAAATATCTCTTCTAGTTCTCTCGGTAGTAGACCTAGGATAGCTGTCAGGTTTGAATCTTGAGTTTGCTGAACTCTGATCTCAGAAGTCCTGAATTGAACCTGATATGAAATACACCCAACGTCATGACGACAGTCCTGTGCGTAGTGGTGCGTTCAAGAACACTGGGAAACCAACAAAAGTCAAATTCGGTAGAAAAGGAAAAAATTACGGAGCTGGACAATTCTATTTCCCTTTTTATTTATTTTTTTCCTTTTTTCACAGACCACTCTTTTACTGACAGAGCAGTGTGCAACCAGCACCCTACCCTAAAAACGAAATAATTATTAAATAGTAATGTAACAACTATATGTGTTTGGGAGCATATTTAAGACTCACTAGTAAATGAATAAAGTATTAAAAAATAAAGTATAGACATAGAAATTAAAGCATCTTATTTAAAAATGATGTACACTGGCATAACACACTGTAAATACAGCCTAATCATAGCGGCTACTTCCTTTTTATTTGTCTGATCATTTTCAGTGTTATTTTATTTGTAGAATAGTGAATACTATAAAATAAAAAAACATCTGAATTACTATTAGTAACTGTAATGAAAATGATATGTTACAATGAATACTTATAAAATTTATTTGTTTACCACGTTTTCACAACGAGTGATCTGTAACTGTCGTTTCGTTTTTCCAGAAAGTACGTGAAAGCAGCACAAGGATCAACCTGGAGTTAACTACGGCACTACTGCGCACAAACACCAAAAACAAACGCTTTTACACCGCTATGGGGCACTTGTGACGAACTATCCTATCATTTTATCGACTTTTATACTCGTGTCTGTGTGGATTAACAACTTTTCAGACGGTAAATGTCGACGTGTTGTAGTTTGAGTTGAGTTCTGCTTTGAGTCCGATGGCAGGTCTAACGATAGAAGCGCACGGCTCGGTTTGACGCATCTTTCACGGACTTTTGTACGTCCCCAAAGTCCAATGTCCACAGCAAATTGCGCTGAGGAGCTGGACTTCAGACTCATATTCGAGGAGGACGGAAGACAACCAACAGGTACGTGCCGATTTAAGCCACAGGACGCGGGTTTGTTAGCGATTTTTCAAAAGCGTCAAATGTACGTCAAAAAGGGTCAGCGAAACAGGAAGTGACTATCACAATAAAGCCTTGCAAAACAAACTCATGTTTTCTCATTTAGCGGTTTTAAGTAAAGCAAAGAATACAGTTTTGTAGTATATTTGTACTTTCTGGAATATATGGAATGCGTTGAATATAAATGTAGCGATATATAGACCTATCAGTAATAGCTACAAAGCTTGGAGAGGTCTTACCTGTTTTATTTTGTAATTTGTATAATCAGTAAAATAAATTCCACATTTTTATGCAATGTAGGCACTGCTACTTAAGATAAAATTAAAAATAACAGGAGAAACATAATGTTAAAGAAGTTTTTCAAAAGCAGCCATAACATTAAATGTCTGTAATAGCAGGTTTCATACGTTTCATATTTTTTTTTTTTTTTTTTTTATCGCATTCAAGGGACATAGTAGTGAATCTAGTGAACCCTGTGCAGCAACCTACTTGGATATGTTAAATAATAATAATAAGCATAAGATTTGGATACCCCTGTTGTTGCTTTACTTGATTACTCCTTCTAATACTAGGCCAACTACTTAAAGTAACTTAGTACTTACATTACTTAATTAGCATTTCTTTCACATAGACTACCAATATAATATGAATTACAATTTGTATTGTACAATTTGTACAGTTTGTTTCTTGTTGAAACAGGAAAAGTCTATGCATCAGTTGCTTTCCAAATTGACCAAAATGACTATACCACTATAACCTCTCTCCCTAATTTGAAAACCTGTGGCGGAAGTTTGTGATTGTCGGTTGGTGATGTGACACTTCCAGCTGTCTCTGTGAAGCTGCCCTGTGTTAAATTTAGGCGAACTTCAAAATGTAAATCAGGAGGCAAACAAGTGACCCACGGACTCTCCCACGGGACAGGGGACAGCAAGGAATCTAAAGAACATCAGTTTATTAACATAGTTGGTAGAAAAAACTACCAATCGTCCTTTTTAATCCTTTTTTTAAGGGAGTGCGTGTCAAGATCTGTTATCTGAACAACTACAGCAGTTTTGACCATAAATGTGATAAAGGCGTGGAGATTTAAGACTTCCTTCCTCTAAAGTTCTTCTTCATGTACTAAGAAATGTCTTAAATCATTCAACTCAAGCCCTGTCTTCTTAAGATGATAATAATTTTAGTATTTGTGTAGCACTAGCACACAAGACTTTCCTTTGAATAACAGAACATAAAATATTTAGATTTAATTCACAGTAAATTAAATGAACATACAAATTGAATTTTTCACCTCTCAAATATTTATGATCATAAACTGTATGAGAGACACATTTTTACTGTTTGAAATGCTCTTTTATTTCACCAGTTCCAGGGGCAATTCATTAAACACATTTTTGTGGTTGGGTCTGTGGCTTCTCTCAGACGGAGTTTATGCCAACAGCCTGCCCCCAGCTGCTTTTACTTCCTGGTCTCAAAATAATCCAACTGCCAACTTTTAAGATACTTTTGCATGATTATTTCAAACTTTTTAGGCTTACAAAAATTAATAGTTATGAATTCAGGGTTCATCTCAGGTTGACTAGTTTTATCATTCTGATAAATATACTTCATAGAGCAATTGTAACACACAAAGGGTTAGGGTTTATGTATGGGTATGGGTTTATTTATATTGTTTTGTTTATGTTTAAGTTATCTATTCTATACTATTTACAGTGTAGATTCTCACAAAAAGCATCAAAACTAAACTTATAGAATCTAGTAAACAAAATAACTCAAATCTTGTTTTTGATTTTTTGAAAACAGCCACTTTGGCTTTATCGTTGCTTTTGACAACTGGCATTTCTTAACCCTGACAAGACACACATGTGAAGTGAAAATCATTTCATGTGGTATAATCATAAAGATAGTGAGATATTAGAAAATATGATATATATTATAATTCACATTTAACTGCATTGTTTTTTGTTTTTTTTTCCTTTACCACATAATTCCATGTCTTGCTTTGTATCTAAAATGTGGAAAGTAGTAAACATAAAGAAAAAAGACAATGAATAACAAGGTGTGTCCAAACGTTTGGCTAGTAATGTATATAATGCTCCAAAAATTCAAGTTTTAAGATATAGGAGTGCTGTATTGACAAAGCGCCCTTTTGAATGTAACATTTGATATGTGAGCACGAAGGAAGGACTGGGTACAGTGTGTTAAGTGTGAAATAACACTCACTGTTCACTTTAGTCTGAGTTCAGTTTCAATAATATGACATCATTTGACAAACATGGAAATGTACGCTATACTGTATGTCTTTAGGGTAGTTATATTGGTAAGGCAAATTTATTCTTTATACTTTATTTCGAGCTGTATCATATAATACAGAGATGAATACGATCTGTACAATCTGAGACCAAGATTGACTCATACAAATGAAAGATTGACACTCGAAATGGAGTGGCAAGAAGTGAGACTTATTTTGAACCACTCCAGTGTCAGAAAACATATTTAAAGAAAAATATTTACTTCCTTGTTCACAGTCAATTCCTCAGCATTGATGACTAGAAGGCTTGTGCAATATTCACTCATTTGTTACATAATGCATAGGTGTAAAATCACACACACATAAATCTATTTACATTTATACATAGACACATTACCAGAGGTAACAGTTATTTTTAAATACTAACAATCATAATCTGAAAATACCACAAGGGTAAGATAACACTGCTACTGTACATACATGAATGCAGTTAACTTAAGTATGTAATATATTGTATTATGGATTTTATTTTATGCAGTTTTAAAATTACCTTATTATTTATTTTTTCTTTAAATATTTCATCTGAAATAAGTCATTATTAAGATAGTAAATAACAACATATTTATTATTATGAAATAAATGCTTAATTTTTATTTTTCTCAAGTCTTGTATTGTCAGTTGTACTGTACATAGGTCTATTTTGTTTTGATTTGACTAAACTATCTGTTCAGTACTGCACTTGCTGTTGGCCATTCAAATTACTCATCTGCTTTGCATTTTCTTTTATCTCTCAGGTCTGGATGTGAGGGCAAATCCATCTTCCACACAGACTCTGGATCCCCAAGACCCAAATTTAAACATCTATCAACATCATGTGGCCCCCCAATCCCAGCCACAACCACAACTTCAGGGATCCCAGTACGGAGCCCAGGGGAACCTCAGGGCCTTCGACTGCCCTAGTATCCAAATCACCTCCATTGCCCCAAACAGCCACATAGACCACAGCCAGGATGTCCGAGGTGCGGAGGGGGGGTATTCAGATGCGTCTTGGTCTCGGGATCAGCTTTACCTACCTGTGGACGCTTGTTACCGTGACCAAACCCTCTGTCCCAGCCCATGTAGCAGCCTGTCGTCCCGTAGCTGGATGTCGGATCTATCTTCTTGCGAGTCGTTTTCTTGCACTTACGACGATGTGGAGGGAGAACTGCAGGACGCAGCCCGACTGGCTTTGGGGTCACCTCATGGGTCACCTTTGGGGTCTCCTGGATGTGGAGGAGGGGCATTTGGTGTGGAGCTTTGGCAACAGAAGTACCAGCACCCCATGGCCTTCAGCCCAGCTCTGTCACCTCACCAGTCTCCTCTCGGCTCTCCCTGCCATTCCCCCCGAACCAGTGTCACAGAGGAGAGTTGGCTCAAC